CCCGCCCCTCTAGCGCGGTGGGGCGGCCGTGGCCGAGCTGCCCCCGCGGCGTCGGTGCTCCATAAAGCTGCGGGGAGTGAAGGAAGAATAACTTCCGTCTGACGTGTTAAAAACCAAAAAAAAATCTCTTAAGGCGCTGACGTAGGTGATGACAGAATCGCAGAGGTATGGGCAGAGTGGCCGGGTGTGTTTCCACAGCCCTCGGGTACTCTCACAGGTGCCCAGCAGGGCAACAGCGACAGCTGGGTGAGCTTTCTTCCTGTCAGACCTTGTCTGCACTAACCGTATTTCAGACAGAGTCTTGAGCATCCAGCTGGCTTTTGTGTCACCCTGCTTGGAGCCAGGTGGGGGTCTGCCTCTTCTCCCAAGGAACAAGCAATAGGACAAGAGGAAGCACCCTTGAATTGCTCCAAGGGAGGCTTAGATTGGAAAACAGGAAGAATATCTTCCCCAGAAGGGCTGTCAAGTGCTGGAACAGGCTGCCCAGAGAAGTGGTGGAGTCCCCATCCCTGGTGAGGTTTCAAAGATGTGTAGATGTGGCACTTGGTGACATGGTTTAGTGGTGGACTTGGCACTTCTAGGTCAACGATTGGGCTCAGTCAGACTTATCGTCAAGGTCTTGTGCAATGTAAATTATTCTGTGGTTCTAGCAGGTACAGAAGGAGCTGTAGTGGGGAGCTGACGTGGAGCACACAGCAGTGCCAGTGCAGCATTTATAAAAATGCCACCAATAACTCATCTGCTACAGGTCTCTTAAAAATCTCAAAACCTGAAGAGCACCAGGGGTGGCGATTCTTAAAATATTTACAATATATCCCAAATGTGCAGTTTTAGCAGTCTTTAATTACATTAAAGTGACTGAAGTTGTACACTGACCTAAGTTTAGGTGTTCAGCTTGAACATTAGTCTGGTGTAAGTAAATTGTAACTTTCAATATGAAGTGACTTGTCTGTGGCAGAACTGCTGAGTCTGAGATGAACATCTGTCACCTGGGAGACACAAAATCGGGGTTTTTTGGCATTTTCCTATTGAGACCTGTATTGGAAGACCCCCATCTTCTGGTGTACCGTGTCCGGGTGTAGACAGTTCAGTTTATGGGTTAATAGAATATTGTTGTGCCTTGTCAGATCTCGTGACTCTTAAAATCCCTCAAGGACACTCAGAAATTTGACCTTTTCAGCGTGTGTACCTTCTGTTGGTTATGATATATAGCCACTGAAGAGAACAAGTCATGGTCCTCCAGCTCTCGTGATGTAGCCATTGAAGGCTCTGTTTTCCCTCCTTGCACCAGTAAAGCTGAGAAACATTTTCTTATTCTTCTTGTTGGAAAAAGAACTTATTTTCTGCTTGTTCTAGCAGTGGTGTACTGTTAATGCCCTTCTGTACTGGTCTATTTTAAGAGTAAAAGTGGTGTTCTTAAAAATCAAGTCCATTTAGGGTCCTGAGCTGACCTGGTTTCTGTAAATATGTTTTTTTTTTTTTTTTTTATTTTGGACTTCCTGATTTAGTTTTTTTTTAGTTTGAAAAGTTTTAGCTTTTTTTTAGTTGAATCATTTTCGCTTTGCTTTTTTGCTGTAGGAAGAAACAGGAGCTAATGATGTTTTCTGTGACTTATTTGGTGTGCTTAGTATTATAGAAAAATGGATGTTGGAGTGGACTTCTGGAGCTCACCTAGTGCAGGGCCAGCTTAAACGTTAGGTCAGGTTGCTTTCCTGGTGGAGTTGTGGAATGGATCCAGATTCAGTGACCTCTGTGGACATCTACCCCGTCATTGTGGGTGTTGCACAGATAATTAGGCTGTCAGCTGTGGCAATTTGTGACAGTTACCCCTTGCCCTTCTTCCTCTTAGTCTTAATAATTCCTTTCTTCACTCTGGAGAAAGGAATTACTGGTGGATTTTTTTTCTGTTTGTGTATCAATTGAATCACAGAAAGGTTTGGGTTGGAAGGGACCTTAAAGATCATCTCATTCCCATGCCACTGCCACAGGCAGGGACACCTCCCACTAGAGCAGGTTGCTCCAAACCCCATCCCACCGGGCCTTGAACAGATCCCATGATGGAGCATCCACAGCCTCCCTGGGCAACCTGTTCCAGTGTCTCACCACCCTTCAGAGTGAAAAATTTCTTTATTTCTAATCTAAATCTCCCCTCTTCCAGTTTGAACCCATAACCCTCCGTCTTGTCACCCCAAGCCCTTGCCAGAAGTCCCTCCCCAGCTCTCTCTTAGGGCCTCTCAGGTGCTGGGAGGCTTTTTCAGGCCTCACTGAGCTGTAGAGGGGCCTTGGGGAGCTGTGGAGGGGCTTTGGGGAGCTGTGGAGGGGCTCTGGGGAGCTGTGGAGCTCTCCAGCAGGTGCCGTCCTGCACAAGCCAGATACTCCATCGGGTGCTGTCGCAGTCCTCACAGCTACACCGGGAATAGTCACACGTGGTGTCTCCTCTGCTCTCCACAGCCACCCCTGGGATACGGTGATCAAGGCTGCCATGAGGAAGTACCCCAACCCCATGAACCCCTGCGTGGTGGGCGTCGACGTGCTGGCCAGGGGCCTGGACGAGCGGGGCAGGCTGCACAGCCACCGCCTCCTCAGCACCGAGTGGGGCCTGCCCGCCATCGTCAGGGCGGTGAGCTTCAGGGCCTGGGGGCAGGGAGGGACTGGAGGGGCTTCATGTCCTCAGCTGGGCTGGGCTTCAAGTAAAAGCTTCATTTGTACAAACCTCATCCACCAGTCTCCCTCAGCTCTAATTAGCGCCCTCGGTAGCAATTACGAGGACGCTGTGGGCTTTGATACCCCTATAGAGTGCTTGTTTATTTGGGGTCCTGATATTTAGGAGTTTCAAGGTTGGATTGGTTGGTTTGTTTGTTCCTTTTTGGTTTTATTCCTTTTTTGTTTTAACACTTTTTTATTTCTTCGCTTTCAGATTTTAGGAACAAGTAGAACTCTGACTTACATTGAGGAACATTCTGTGGTAGATCCAGTGGAAAAAAAGATGGAGCTGTGCTCAACTAATGTGAGTGGCAGCTTAAGAAGTTTCTGGTAATTAGTTCTGGGGATTAGGTGTTTTGTTCTTAACATTTAGATTAGAAATGTGTCTCACCAGGTTATGACAATTTCCATATCTTAGTTGGATCTTCTTTTTTTTCCTCCTTCTTCCCACAAATAAGAAACTTTAAATACTTTGGGATCAAGCATCTGTGATTCTGTTTTTAATGTAAGATTATTTCTCAGAGTGCATGTAAAATAGTTAGAGTTTTAGATGAATAATTTGTTCTACATTACACTGCCATTCATACCAAACTTTTTAATTTGAAAAAATTGTGGCTTTTTCCACAAAATGTAAATGAAGTGTTGCACTGTGTTTTTTTATCCCGGGAACCTGTAAGTGGAGTTGTCTGTAGCAGAGCATTGGCTCTGTACAAGAGGCACTGTCTTTCCTAAGTATCAATTTTTTGTATACTCCCAAGTCCTCTCTGAATTGTGGACCATAAATTGGGTAAGACTCACCATTCAGGGGAAAAAAATGGAGAGGTGTTTGTTCTTTGTCCTGTGAATCAGAACTTAGGTTGACGTAATTAGATCTAGGACAGGAGAAGGTGCATCACCCTTTATAGGTCTTTTTATTGACTGTGTTCTGGGTTTTCCATTCTGCATACACTGTTTGGTCCCTGACTTTAACTGAGTGCCCTACTGTGGAGTAGCACTGTTGGTTACAGAAAGAGGAAAGGTGGGAAGTGAGGCTCTAATTATTTTTTCTCTTTTTAAGATTACTCTTACAAACTTGGTGTCTGTTGATGAGAGACTGGTTTACACACCTCATCCTGATAACCCTGAAAAGTAAGGAAGCATATCTATGTGCTTTTTTTTTTTTTAGGAGACATCATTTCAGTTTAGGCATTAACTTTTCTTGATTCTCTTGCAGAACCGTGCTCACTCAAGAAGCAATTATTACTGTTAAAGGCATTAGTTTGAGCAGTTACCTGGAAAGCCTAATGGCAAACACAATATCTTCTAATGCCAGAAAGGTACATTTTTATTCTGTTTCCTCCCTCTCTCTCCCCACCCCTGCCTTTCTTTTTTATTGAAATTATAACTGTCAGTCATGTGTGCTCACCACTGTGTTTAATTTCTCTAAACTTTGTGCAGAGTTTCAACTGACTTTTTTTGTAGAACCACAGCAATTATAACATCATTTCCCCCAGTGTGAAAAGCCTTCACTACTAAAACTTTTCTTTTTCAACGGGAATTGCACAGCAAAACAAACCTACCTCTGCATCTGTGCTACAGTTAGGCATAGCAGAGATGTTTTATTAGATGGGTTTTGGTTGTTTCTTTTCCTGAAGCACCTTTTTAAACACTCACCTCCTATTTCCAGGAGTTGGTGCTAGTAGTGAGTATAATTTCCTTTTCCACCTTTATAAGCTGCATCTAGCAGTTACACCAGCATGTTTGCTGTGCTGCTTTGTAAGTTGTTCCAGTTCCTGTCCATTACTGAGTTGTCTCTTTGCCTTTGGCTAAAAGGAAGGTAGCAAATATCCTTTGAAGAGGTGAGATGATCCTGGCCTGTGTAGGTAACACTACACCAGCTCCTCTGTCTTCTGCTTGCTTTTTCCAGTTGGCTTCCAGCCACCGAGCTGTACTTCAGCACAGGCAGAGCTACACGAGTGCTCCTTCCTGGGCACTTTGTCCTGTCCTTCCCTGGGGAAGGTGGTACAGAGATGGGGTTGCTGGAGGAGCATTGGCATTGCTGCCTGACAGCAGGCTGAGCACACCCCAAATTTGAGTTTGCACTCTCCAGTTTTGCTGGAGAGGTTCAGCACAGTGGGAATCAGGCCCATGGAGCTCTGCCCGTGCCAGAGAGCCTGTGCTTTGGGCAGCCCTTTGTCCCTGTGAGAGATGTTGCTTGACCAAGGCAGCGTAAGCCAGGAGGTACTGACCAAGTAGATCAGAGAGGAGAAAACCTCCTTTTCCTCCCTTCTGTGTGCTTCAAAAATGAGAGGAAAACAGGTTAAAACCAGCAATGGGAAAGCAGTGATGGGTAATTTCTAGGCACTGGAGTAACTTTAACCAAGTGCTCTCTATTTGTTTGAAAGTCATAAATGGAATGTATTTCAGATAAATGACAATTCTGTTCTGATCCAGTTCCCACGTCAAAGTCTATGTGGGACAAGTATTCTTGAGAGAGAAGTCCAAACCCTGGCTCACAGCCAGATTTCAGCCTGACTCAGAGGTAGCGAAGCACTGGGTGGACAGAGTGAGGCACACTCAAAGTGCTGGCTGGATTCCTCTCGGGGCATCTGCCACATTTGCATGTCTGTGTGGAACTCAGAAGTGTGGAGAGATTCCCTGGTACCTGTTGGGGTGCTGCGTGTGCGAGAGCTTGAGTTCTGGTAGGGATTGCTCTCCTGCCGTTTTGAAGGAACACACTGGCTCACGAGCTGCTTGCAGAACAAACCCACTTCTTGTGCCCTGTGTTTCACTGAAGAGTCTCATGAGAGGTGTTGACCTTGGCAGAAGTTTGTGCTGGGCGTTACCAGCCCTTCCTTTGCTCTCAGTCACCTGCTCTGCAGTTCCTAGCTCTCCTGGCATGCTGTGCCCTGCCTCTGTGCTCTTAGCACCCCTCCTAAACTGTATGAAAGCTGCTGAAAAACGCTTTGTTGTTCTGAAGAACCAAGGAGGAAGTACTGAGGCTGTGCTCGGAGGTGGACGTGGAGGAGGGTGCCTTATTGCTTGTAACGATGATGGAAAAATCATTTGCCCTACGTTGTAAATCTTTTCTGTGTTGCTCCAGGGGTGGGATGCTATTGAGTGGATAATTCAAAATTCTGAAAGCGCTCTAAGCTAGCGGTTCTCCACACCTCCAGCTTGTACTAACTCGTGGTAATTGCAGCATTCTTCTTCTCGGTACAGCATTTCAGCTTGCTGGCAAATACCTGCATGGGCCATTGTCATGTGGATCAGCTTCATCCTTTAACCTGCACGGATGTTTTCTGTCCCTTGCACACAGGAATGGCAAACATCTTCGGGGGTAGAGCAGGAGGGTGGGGAGGGTCTGATGCCCCTGGGTGACCCGCTTGCAGCCGTGCCTGTGCCACGTGCTGTTCTTGTGGGTTGAAAGCAGAACAAGTCTCTCCACCCAGTGTTCAAACTGGTCCTGGGTTCTGTGATTTCTCTAAACCTGGTCCCTGAAAAATCAATCAACTGCTTAGCACCTGGAATTGGCATTCTAAAACTGAAGCGGAATTGTCCTCGTAGGATAGAAAATTGATTCCTTGGAAGAGATTGCCTCGCGGGGGTGATCTGCACAGTGAAATGGTATTTACTTTCCTTACCCCCGAGGAATACTGTTGCCCTTCTGTGAACTCGTGTGGAAATCCGTGTGGAGCCTGAAGCTGTCAGAGTGCCAGGCTCTTGGTGTGTTCATGGGTCCTGTGGTTGTGTCCCTTGAGCAATGTGACTGAAAAAAACCCGACCTCAGGGCTGAGAGAACAGAGTGTACTCGCCTCTGAGAGACCTCAGTGCAGCCTGTCTCTCTCATTCCTGCACTGGCTTATGCTTCAACTAACAAGGTTCATTCAAAATAAATAAAAAAAAATAATCCCTGATGCTGCTTTCCTGAGGACCATGGGGTTCGTACCCCACTGACTGAGAGCAGCGTCTGCCAGGAGCGCTCGCTGTTACACTCTCGTTCCACTGAGCTTTTATGGCTGTTTTGCTGGAAAACATCAGCTGGCAAGGCTCAGCATTTGTCAGTCACCTCAGCTCGACCAAAACTCTTCATGTGCAGCATCTGATCCACCAAACACGTCTTGCTGCTAACACCTGCAACAAAAACTCCTGCTGTATGCATGCCTGGGGATGAATGTGCTTGCTTCATGTGTACAGGGTGAAACTATAGATCAGTCCTCTGTCAGATTGGGTTTTGGTGGCTGGGTAGTTCGATGGTGCTCGGAGGCTTTGCACCTTGTTAAGATTTATTTTCTGTGCAGAATAGTCCCAAAATTTTCCTTGCCAATATCACGAGTTTGTTCTTAGCTGCAAAACACAGCATGTGGAGGTCCAAGGAAACAGGCAGACCTCTGTGGTCTCAATAGCTGAAGGAAATGTCTCGGTGCTCAGGTGGAATGTTGTGGATTTAAAAAGTTTTATTTTGTCAACAACTGTATCAGTGAAAACATTCTGGCCTGGTTGTTTCGTAGTCAGGGCCTGGAAAGAACCTCAGTATTTTTCTGCTGAGCGTTTTCTGCGTCAGAGGTGTTTGATTTTCTGACAGGTCTTTGTGTGATTAGACAAATACAACATCTCAGCTGTCGTAGTCCTCTGGCCGTGTCCCCTACGAGAGGACATTGTGATGTGACTTCCTGGAAGAGGATTCCCTGCTCTCCCCCACGGGGTCCTTACCCAGCACCCTGCTCACAGCTAGCCCAGCTCCCTGCTGTGCAGCAGCCTGCTCCTGGCAGGTGCTTTCCCCAGCTCTGCTGGCGCTCAGCTCTGGTTCCCAGCTTTGCTGGTGCTCCTGCCTCTTGCAGGGGATGTGGAGATGGTGGAAGTTGCCACCTGCTGACGCGTGGTCGATTCGCTGCTCAAATGGAGGGAACTCAGAAGCTGACTCATATTCTTCTGCAGACTTTTTTTCAGCAAGCCACACTTAGAGGAGACAATTTGTGTTTTCTTGATTGTTGTCGGTAATCTTTAAAGACGTGTCTTGAAATAAGTTAACTTAATTATACTGGTTCTTGGGGGAGGTCTGGGTAGGGCTGAATCCCCCTTTCCAGGCTCTGGCCAAGAGGGGAACCTGCTGTTGTGGCACATGGATGATTTTTCTTGGATTAAGGACTGCCTGCCAGGGCAGACGTAGGGATTAGTGTTTATTCTGTGAGTCCCTGCAATACGAGTAACGCAAAGAGGAACAGAATCAGCCCATCACTGAGTTCAGGGCCTTGAGATAAAAGAAACAGCTTTACTATGAATAAGAGTATATTTGATAGGTTACACATTTCAGCCTGAAATTTATAACAGAGTAATGTTTCTAGCCTCCAAATGCAAAGAGGAACAGAACCAGCCCATCACTGAATTCAGGGCCTTGAGATAAAAGAATTAGCTTTACTATGAGTACGAGTATATTTGGTAGGTTACGCTTCGCAGCCTGAAACTGGGCTTTTGTAACAGAGTAATGTTTCTAGCCTCCAAAAAATTCTTCAAGAGTATGTCTAGGTTTTGTTTTGACCTTTTTTTTATGTTTTCAGAGCTGTTTATGCAGATTCTTGTTCACACTTAGTGGTTTGTAAAGGGCAACAGCAGCTTCTGGACATTTTTCAGATGGTTTTGTTCATTTACTTATCCCCTATAATTCATGCCATAAAATGAGCACATCAGATTTCAGAACAACTCTGTTCTGGAGGGCTGTTCATTTCCCTCAGTCTCTGCAGAGGGCTGGAACACTGACACCTTTTCTTCTAAAGACTTAGGATTTTTGAGGCTTAGACCCTTTATCTGCAGGACTCCTTTTGGCCAGAGCCATGTGGCTCCCAGTTACTGCTCTCCGACGTTTCTACTACTTATTTTTAGTAGGGTCAGAGAGGTGAATGTCTCTTGGCCTCTCTCTAAGTGACAAAAGGCCAGGTGCTCTCCTGCTCGGATCCCATCTGCTTGTTTTGGCAAAAGCTGTCCTTCTGAGCATGTGGAGTTCTCAAATCCTGCACTTGGGTCTAGTTAAAGTCCTTCCCTTTATTTTCTTGACTTCATTGTTTGCCTGGCTGTGCTCCTCCTCTCAGTGGGGTGCAGCTGCTACCACTGGGTCTTCTTAAGGTAGAATTTTCTGGATGTGCTTATTTTTCTGGATTCCCCAGCTAAATTCTCTTGCTACAGCATTGGCTGTCAGTGCCTGGCTTGGAGGAGATTTTAATCTCCTGGTTAGTCTGGTTTGTGTGCTGAAAATGTGCAGTGCATGCATAGAGAACTCGGTGTGAGTCCATCCCTAAACTCTTGCTAGATATCAGATCAGTTAGCTGCTACTGCAGAGAGCACTTGGGCAACTTTCACTGTCCTGGATCTTCTCAAAAACTGCCTCTGTGACTCAGTTAATCAATCTGAGAACAGCATCTAGACTTTACCACAGATTTGCTGATATTCTTCGGGTGACAGGAGCAGGAAAGAGTAAAACCAGCAGTGCTCTTACACAGGGGAACTTCACTGCTGAGTTAGGCTTTTTGCCTAGGTGCTCACACCAACGTTGCATTTACTTCCTGCTTATGGGGTAAGCAAATGTCTTTGCAGTGAAGCTTCCATAAGAAGATGCTGACAAATTATCAGTATAATCTGGTATCAAGCTATGCAGGGTGTTTGAACCAAATCTCACGTCTGACAGAGGAAAACCTATAGAAACATGAGCAGTGGTGGCTTAATGATCCTAAATTCCAATCCTGAATCCTGGTCTTTTCCTGGCAGGGTCGGGACGCCCTGGAGTGGGTGATTAGCAAACTAAACACAGAACTGGAGGAGCTGAAGTCAGCACGTGAGGGTGTGAAACCAGCCATGGCAGCAGCCTCAACAGAAAACTAACAGCAGCAGTACCACCTGACTGACAGAGGGGTTTGTTCTGCAGCCTGCTCTGCAGATCTCCCTTCCCAGGCTCATCTGCAGCTTTCCTGTATTGATAAGGATATCAGATCAGCAGAAAAACCACCTCGTCCGGCATCTCCACAGCAGCTCCTGCTGCCTGCTGAAGATCAACTCGACCTCCTGCAGATACTCCTCTAATTTAAACGATTTCCAATTTCTTTTTAACACTGGAAACAAAACGTTTAGCACATTTATAACTGCCCGAGTGCACCCTTTGTAACAAAGGTAGAGCATGTTGCATTCACGCCACGCCGGGTTTCTGTCCTCAGACTTGAAAAGATCACAGGTGTGGTGTGAAGGGTTTTCCATGTGCACCTTTGTTCTGTGAAGGGCTGGCACGTAAAGCCCTGATTTTTGTCTGTTTTGTCATCTGATAAGTGTCTCATGACCATTTAAAGGGAACTGCCTGACTCAGAACATGCTACTGTAGAATTAGGTATCTAGAGGGATCATCCTGAGAAGCAAAACCTTCCGTGGTACTGACTTGTCTTATGTTGCTTAATGTGCTGCCCAGACATGACACACGGACACTTGACCTCTTAGGTGTTTGTGTCCAAACAAAGATAGAGTTTCTATTGATGTTAATTGCCTAAACCAGTTTTCTGGTGGGGAGGAGGGTGTAATTTATTTTCATATTTATTAACTTGCCCTAGTTCCTCCCCTCCCTGTGAGGAAAGGAGTAGTAATTCCTGGAAGGTGCTGGAAGATATTTCTCCTATTTATCTCTAAGAAGGGTACTTGTAGGCTACCTGAACAAAGAGACTGTGCTGGTCCACCAGTCCTCGCTCTTCACGTCGTGTCTTACCTGAGGGACAGACTGATCCAATAACCACAAGAGTTGTGACCAGCTGGAAATCTGAAATCCGAACGGTCGCGTCGCGTGATTCGTGCCCCAGCTGGGGAGGACAGGAGTGCAGGACAAACAAAGGCACTCTCCTTCCTGAGCACTTTCTACTAACTACTGACTACCAGGGGAACTGAATTTTTTCAGCACTTTTCTACATGGATACCAAATGGTTTTAGGATCATTTTAAATGCTTGTAATTATCTGGATAAATACTCCAGTAACTGCAGAAATGGCTTCCTATAAAGCTTTTGGCTTCAATCCTGGCTTTGTCTGATGTTCACAAAAATGGTCTTGCTTGGTCCAGGTGTAGTTTACCTTTCTTGGCCCTCTGTTAGGGCATTTTAACTTATTTTCTGGTGTACACCCAAAGTGAAATGAACAATGGAAGGATCTTCACCTGTCCAAGCAGCAAGCGTGTGTTTAGGGAGCTGTTAAAGAGCACAAGGGACTTCTTAATAACTAGAAGAGTGAAATGTTGGTCAGTGTTTTGATCTGGTAATTCTGAAGTGTCTGGAGCTTAAGGGAAAAATCAGCATTCGCATTCTGGTTAGTCTGAAAGTGAACATTAATTTGGGTGTAACTACAGTCTCACTAAAATTACATGGCCCTAATGAATAAACTTAACTTAAAAAAAAAATAATTAGTTGAAAGCAATTGAGTGAGTAAATATTTACGTTGCTCTTTTTGTATGGACCTAAAGCCTTTGTTATTTTGGAGCAGAAACTCAAAGGCTGGTCACAGCTCCTTTCCAGAAGATACACTGGCTGGCTTTGGTGCAGGTCAGTTACTGTGCTTCTCAGAGGAGTGGTCCCACAGATGTCCTAGCTCCTGGTGGGCTTCTGCCAGGAAGGGCAGTGCAGCTGGGGACGGGGAGTGAGGGTGTGGGACCTGTCCCACAGCACTTCTGACCGTGCCTGCTGGCGAGGAGGAAACGTCACTGCCGGCTGGGTAGGAAGGGCCGGGGAGAGGCTCGTGTAGTGCTGCTTTTTGGGAGGGGAACTGTCTAAAGCTGCTTCCTGCATCACAACTGGAGTACCTGCCTCTTGTTGATGTGTCTGGCAGGTTCCAGCAGCAGCCAGCATCCCACGGCAGTCGCCGCAGGCTCCGAGTCTCTGCCTGGGGCCAAACTCCTCTGCCACACCTTGGGGTCAGTACCTGTCACATGTCACTTGGCTGGAGTGTTCTGGGCATTTTATTTCCTTCTTCCAGAAACGAGTCCTTCTCTGCTCATGTTGCAGCACCTCCTTCCCAGTTCATTCCCTGCTGGTTCTGGGTTGCTTCCTCTCCACGTCACGCTCCTGGGAGCTCCCTGGCTGGGTGCTGGGTTTTCCAGTCCGGGCTGCTCCACTTGCCATGGATCAGTCCCTGCCTCCTTGGGTTACAGTCTGAGCCCTTGGGGCCAAAAAAAACCCATCTTTGGCACTGCTTGTCTTGCTCCTTCCCTAGGGAAACTCCCCTGTCATTTCTTTATTTACCAGGCCTGGCTAAAATAAATATGTTCCTGAAGTTGGTTTTATGTCATGTGCATTGACTGTGGTGTCTGGCAAAGCTGCATGTGAGGGACTGTGTGAGGCAGCTTGGGGGAGCAGGGGTGTGGCTTTTTTGGGTTGGTACAGAAACAGCTGCCTACAAGAGAGGAAAAAAAATTATAAAGCAGCAGCAGTAGTGTTAAGTCAACACTCACTGACTTGGAAGGCTCTTGAAGCGCTGGGGACAGCACAGCAGGAAGCTCAGCGCTTGTGATGTTGCTGATAATGGGTGGCAAGTACCATTTTGAGTAAGAATTCTGCACTTTGAAAGTTGAAAATAGAGTTTTGTGTGGTGGCTGAGGGAGGTTGTTCGATCCGCTGAGGCTTGGGTAGAGTGTTCCTGGTTGCAGCTGAAAGGAAAGGGAGCGCAGGGGGTGTGCAGGGAGGTGGTTTGAAGCCTCCAGGGCCAGCAGCCCGGGTCGCCAGACGGGTGGGAAGCGTGGCTGGGTGGCAGAGCAGAGCCGGGCAGGGCTGGGCTCCGGCTGCAGGGG